CGGTTATTATCCGCTCTTAGTCATTGACGTTTGGGAGCACGCCTACTATCTCAAACACCAACATCTTAGGACGAGTTATGTGACAAATTGGTGGCGGGTAGTCGACTGGAACAATGTTGAACAGCTTTTGAAATGGTGGAAGAAATTCATCAACAAAAGAAAGAAGGATGAACTCTGATTTGTTCCATATAAGGAGGTGATTTGCATAATCACCCACAATGCAATGCATATGCAAATTGAGTTATTTGCAATTTGTATTCCTTTTCTTTTTAAATGTTATGATAATAGCTGGGAGATTATGGGAAAGCATTAAATTATTAAAAATTATAATTGTTTTTTTTGTCAACAAACTAAAGGCTTGACTATTAAAAACTGGAGAAGGTGTGATTTTTAAAAAAAATCGACAGAGCAGTTTTTTTAAAAAATATGTGTTTACAAAAAACAACCACACATTTGGTAGAGGAAAGCAAAACAAAACAGTAAACATACAAAACTCTACTAGCTCTCCTCACTCAGTTTCAGATGGTCAACCCCAGAATTACAGAATCATATAATGGTCAAAGTGAAATTTTTTGTGAAATTAAGCCACCCTCAAACAAATTTCAGAAATATTGAAGAATATAAGAAAAAAGTGCCAAAAAAATTTGGGTGAGAAAGTCGGGTGATGAAAAGATTAAACCATAAAAGATGTACAAACAAGGCTTTTAAATAATGGTTGGGATATTTATAAATCATTCTTTATATCCCATGGTTTTGTTAACGCACTATAAACAGATATCTGTATGTTATGAGGTTGGATTGATGACATATCTATTTTTAATAACTTTGGAAATATTATTTGTAAATATCAAAACTAAAGCTTTGTGATTTTAAAGTTGCACTGTGAAAGCATTCATAGAGCTTTATTAGTGTCTTGGGACTGATATGCAAAATATTGTGGAAAATATTCAATAAACGCTGATGATCGTTTTGGCTACCTATCTCATTGTATGTTCAAATTTACAAAACTAAATAATTGTAAGCAATGATTAACAACTAAAATGTCAATTACTTATACCAAAGGATATATAAAATAAGGGTTATATGCAATTTAGATACCTTTGTATGTATATGTGATGAGCATTTCCCATGAATCAAATTTATTTCTATAACTAGCGTTGCAGAGCACAGTGGACACTTGAGAAAGTTTGAATTACATGAACTGTATTGAGTTAGATCTTCATGTATTCAAACTAGCAAAATGCACGTAATACACTCTAGGAACAGGGAGTTACTAGCAAAATGCACGTAATACACTCTAGGAACAGGGAGTTACTAGCAAAATGCACGTAATACACTCTAGGAACAGGGAGTCACTAGCAAAATGCACGTAATACACTCTATGAACAGGGAGTCACTAGCAAAATGCACGTAATACACTCTAGGAACAGGGAGTTACTAGCAAAATGCACGTAATACACTCTAGGAACAGGGAGTCACTAGCAAAATGCACGTAATACACTCTAGGAACAGGGAGTTACTAGCAAAATGCACGTAATACACTCTAGGAACAGGGAGTTACTAGCAAAATGCACGTAATACACTCTAGGAACAGGGAGTTACTAGCAAAATGCACGTAATACACTCTAGGAACAGGGAGTTACTAGCAAAATGCACGTAATACACTCTAGGAACAGGGAGTTACTAGCAAAATGCACGTAATACACTCTAGGAACAGGGAGTTACTAGCAAAATGCACGTAATACACTCGAGGAACAGGGAGTTACTAGCAAAATGCACGTAATACACTCTAGGAACAGGGAGTTACTAGCAAAATGCACGTAATACACTCTAGGAACAGGGAGTTACTAGCAAAATGGTCCGAGACAAGCACTAACCATTTTTTTCACAGACTTGCTTATTAGCATTAGCAAGAAATGCATGTGTGTCTGTCATGTGGTTTTGTGATCATCCAATGATTTGTGTGACGAAATTACCGCAAGATCTTTATTTCATTCATTACATACCCTCATCATATAAATCCTTGGTCACTATGTAATTGCATAGTTGTCATTGTGTTCATTCAATTGTATGCGTCACATTGCACTGTACCAATGCATCATATACATGTATGCAGCCAATCAGGGTATACTGGTTAAACACAATTATATGTTGGTACAGTTGGCACACCATTGACACAAGCTGAATACCCCTTTTATGATCTGCAAATGCTGTATTAATATGACTTCAAGTTATCAAAATAAAAAATAGACTAGTATTTTGTCTCTGGAACTAGATTAATATCAAGTTTTCATATTTCCATTTTTATATCTGTTACACACAAGGTACATAAATTATTGTCAAACAAACACATTCAGATGGGTCAGTTACGGTTGTTTAAATTTTTAACGTGAAAAA